CGGACGAGGAGCTGGAGGAGGGGGTGAGGTTCGGGGCCGGGCCGGGCTGGGCTGGGCGGGAGCGGCCATGGCGGGGGCTGGGCCGACACCTTGCTGCACCTCAGCCCTTGCATCCTCCTGGGATTATCACCCTTTCCCCTTTGCTCTGTGCCTTCACCTCGGAATTTTTTTGGGGGGAGGGGGTGTTTTGTTTTGGGTTTTTTGACGTTTTGGGCCCAAATTATGTGGAGAGGTGTCCCATGCAGCGGTAGCAGCCTAGGGGATTTGTTCTGGGGACGCCTCAGAGCCTGGCTTGAGGTGAAGGTGCTAAGGGAGGATGCTGTGCTGCAGGGCCAGAGCTGAGCGAGGATCCAGGGGAGGTTTAAACTTGTGGAAGTGCTGCAGTGGGTTAGGCCAGGTGCTGTGGGCAGATGCAATATCTTTTATTAGACTTTATTATTATTGTTATTGTTATCACTACCTTTTCCTATTATCTTTTATTACACCAAGGAGTAGTAGTCATCGTGCCTGTTATTGGACTAAGTCGTTGATAGCTGAGTTGTCGGGGGGGGGGAGTTCTTTGCAAGCTTTTGGGTGCAGTTGCCCTTCTTCGGGCACAGGGAGTTTCTGCTGTTCTCAGATCTCCAAGGGATGAGAGAAGCCAAAAGCATGACAGGATGTCAGTGAGGGTGAAAATAGGTGGAAATTAGGAAAACTAAAGGTAAAGAAGCAGCGGGGGGGGATGACGAGAGGGTTAGGGAACTGTGTCCTCCTCATCGGTTGTTCTAGGTGCTATTCTGATGTCTTTATAGGGTACTTAAAACATCCCCCTGTTTGTAACAGGTGGGATGGGAGGCTATGTACAAACTTGCAAGCTTAATGCATGACAGTGCCCCTAGGCTGGTTTGGAGCTAGGGACGTAACTTCAGTCTGTTTTACTCTTTGTGCCTTCACTCCATGTGGTTTTGTGACAAATGGCGTCATACGTCCTAAATATAGGTATACATTTTAAATATTTTTAAAGCTTTTCTTGCTAGTTACAAGGTGCCAAACTTTATTGCTGCCTTGATAACATAGCAGGTTACCTACTGTCCTTGATGTCTGTTTGGCTCTTTAGCAATAATGATCTTTTTGCTGCTGTGCGCCATCAAGTTGAACAAAGCACCTTTTTTACTCTGGGTCAGAGATTGATTGATTGATTTTTTTTTTTTCTTTTTTTTTTTTTTTTTTT